GTGTTGGTAATAACATTAAAAGTGTTAAGACTTTAAAGTTCATACTATAAAATAAAATGGATTCTGAATGATTTGAATGAAATTATGGACTTATTCATGAGTTCAGCACTGATGAGTAGATTGTTTTTCTTATCAAGGCCTGGGGAGGGGCCTTTATTAGGGGAGGGGCGTTTATTAGGAATTTTACGGTACAAGCAAAAAATGAAAGGACCATTCAGAACTTGGCCAATTTTGACCCAAGGGATATAATCTGAACAAGGCAGTCTGAAGGACAGCTAAATCCCTTTCCATAGCGGACATGAATGTGTACTTCTTGACCTTAAACCAACCACAACCTTGATGTTGTGCCACGCATATCATAAACACATAGTCTCATGGTGGTGATTATTTGTTCCAAGTTATCTATAATCTTCCATAAAATTTTTTACGAAGAACATATAACCTTGACCTTGGGGGTAGAAACCTGAATGTAACTTAGGGGTAGCAACCTGGATATTGTGCTCTGCAGATTGTGTCATGGCGGGGGATCATTTGTGCCAAGTAATTTCAAAATCTTTGAATTGTTTTAACATTGGACCTATGAGTGTGACTCTGACCTTCAGGGTAGTGACTTGATTTTTGTGCACTGCACATGGTGTCACAATGGTGATCATTTCTGCCAAGTTATCTTAAAAAGATTGCAGCAGTTTAAACGTTATGGAGCGCACATGAAATGTATACTTTTTAACACTTGACCTTTAAGTGTGACCTTGACCTTGGGGGTAGCCACACAATTATTGCCCTCTGGCACATCGTCTTATAATGGTGATCACTTGTGCCAAGTTATTTCATTTTTTTTCAGCAGTTTAAAAGTTATGGAGCAGAGATGAAATGAAGACTTTTTAACACTTGACGTTTTAAGTGTGACCTTGACCTTGGGTGTAACAACCCAATTATTGCCCTCTGCAACATCTCATTGTCTCAAAATGGTGATCACATGTGCCAAATATTTCAAAATTTTCAGCAGTTTATAAGTTGTGAAGTGGACATGAAATTTTACACTTTTTACCACTTGACCTTTAAGTGTGAAAACCCAAGATCCCAAGGGTGGGGCAAGGATTTATCCAAGGGATGTAACTTAATAAAACTTGATAGTGATCAAATTGATAAATAAGAATTCAAGCTAAAAATCTAAGAGCTAGCTATTGAGGATTCAGAAAGAAAGATTTTTTTAAATACTTATTCTATATATAAGGAAAGCCATGACCACCAGAATAAGGGCAAATTTTGACAAAGTTTGACCCAAGGAGGTCCAAAAGCAATCCATATTGAGGACCAAACATAAGCTTGTTTTTTACAAAAATTTTACTGCTAACCCTATTTATCCTCCAGACACAATTTTTCTGTTTTAAGTAATAGGAACCTTGACCCCAGGGAATCCGAAAGCATTCCTGAGGTCTTCATATAGGCTAAATAGATAACTACCTTGATAAAAATATCTCATTCCTATCAAAGTTATTGTCCTGAAACCAGTTTTCTATTTAAGTATCAGTGACCTTAACCTTTACCTGAGTTTCCACATTAAGACTGCTAAATACCAAGTTAACTATAGTTCATTCTGTAGAGGGCCACCTAAGGATTATTTTTTCCAGTGAAGTTTGGTCATAATTCACCAAATGGTTAAAGAAATTGTGGATAACAACCAATGACGAACACACTGCTACCACTCAAGCACACTAAGATGAGCACTTTGTGCTCTGGTAAGCTTAAAACTACAAGAACAAGTTTATCATTTGTATTTTACTTTGAGCAATTTAATTAGATATGAGCACTTTTTTTTGAGAAATTCGATTCCTATATAAATATAGGATATAATTTTTACTAGTTATTTATATAAATATATAATGAATTTCGATTTCATACTTGATTCACTAATTATATACCTTCTACAACTGTTTCTGTAAATTCACAACATTTAATTCATCACATTTTATTTCATGCAACATGTATTTCAATTCTAACTAGAACTATCGCTGAATGCGATTCATACCCCCACCAATGTCCTTGACAGAAGACCACTTGGAAAGGTGGTTAAGGGAATAACTTATGTGGCACAAATACATAAAAAGAAATTATCTCTGGTGAAAAAAAGACCAATTGTACAGGTAATAGTATAAATATATATTATCAAATCATGTTCGAAACAGTTACAAATAACCTTTCATTTTCCCAAATGTATTAAACATTTTATTTATAAGTCAAATTTTGACCTTCAAGTGTGGCCTTGACCTTAATCTGGCACAAGGGTAAGATGGGTTTTGCACATCACCCAGTTTAGTTGAACATTTGAGTAAAGACAAAGTTTGAAGAAAATCCTTCCAATAGTATAGAATTTATAGAGTAGACACAATATATTGTCTAGTATTGGTTGTATGTAAATTTGAAGACTTAAAAAGGGGCATAACTTTGTCAAAATGCAATACAGAATAATGAAACTTGACCTGCATATCTTATTTGCCACACCTCATATATCTTTTAAGTTTCAAGCAAATGCCTGCGCTAGTTTCAGAATTATTCAAGTACATGTTAAAATTTAAGGTAGACCATGGGTAATGGGCACCATAAGGAACTGTAAAATTGACAACATAGGACAGTTATATGTCTTCAAGGTCACCTGTATGCAAAATTTAAATAAAATTTACCGTGTGGTTTACGAGTTATGGATATATTTCTGAACTAAGACTTTGCCATTAAAAGGGCTTATTTTCAGAAATGAGGATACTGTAAATAATCTGTAATATCATCATTATAAAAAATGTTTTTCTATTGCTCATTGTTAAGAAACAAATAATAACATTCAGGTAATTCATTACACAAGCAAAATGTTTGTTTCTAAACAAAATGTTCTTAATATGTATAAAAATGTTACCCTACCCCACCCACTTTTAACACTAATTTTACCATTTCCCTATCTAAAATGCCTTATTCAAAATATCCCTAAAATTTATCGAAATGAGGGTCTGTTTTCAAAGTTTGTCTAAATTTTCTTAAAGGTATATTAGTTGATCATGCGAAATATAAAATACTTTTACCGTGTAGTTTTTATTTTATCGAACTTTGAAAATATCTGGTATCATATTTGCTATAAATTTTGGCATTATTTAGCAAAAAAAATACCTAAAATAATTATATAATTTAAATCAAACTTTTTTTCTTCCATAAGGGATCAGAGAGATACATAAATAATGTTAAAAAGAAAAAAAGAAAGAAAAAAAAGTTGCCCCTTCTGGGGTTTGAACCCACGCCCCTCAATTTCAATGTAGTTGACAAGCGATTCTTGCCTGTTTGAATACTCTTCAAAGTGGAGGTAATGCATTACCCATGGTCTACCTTAAGAACATTTTCTAAGTCAATTTTTGACTTTCAAGTGTGACCTTGATATTAAGCCGGCACAAAGGTGACATGGATTCTGCACATAACCTTGTTGAGGTGAAAATTTGAGTAAAGTTTGAAGAAAATTCTTCTATTAGTATAGGATTTATAGAGCGGACACAACATATTGTCTAATATTTGATTGTATGTAAATTTGAAGACTTAAAAAGGGGCATAACTTTGGTAAAATGCAATACAGAGTTATGAAACTTGAATGAACAGCATATCGGAATTGTGACCCTTCAAAAATATTTTAAGTTTCAAGCAAATACCTTTTCTAGATTTAGAAATATTCAAATAAATGTTAAAATTTAAGAATATTTTCTAAGTCAATTTTTAAACCTTAAAGTGTGACCTTGACCTTAAGCCAGCAAAAGAGTGACATAAGTTCTGCACATCCCTTGGTTGAGATGAACATTTGAGCCAAGATTGAAGAAAATCTTTCAATTAATGTAGGACTTACAGAGCGGACATGACATACTGTGTAATATTAGATTGTTTGATATTTGACCTTCAATTGTGACCTTGACCATAAGCTGACACATGGGCAATATGGATTCTGCACATCCCCTTGTTGAGGTGAATATTTGAGCCAAGTTGGAAGAAAATCTTTCAATTAGTGTAGGTCTTACAGAGCGGACACAACATACTGTGTAATATTTGATTGTTTGATATTTGACCTTCAATTGTGACCTTGACCTTGAGCTGGCACATAGGCAACATGGGTTCTGCACATCCCCTTGTTGAGGTGAACATTTGAGCCAAGTTTGAAGAAAATCTTTCAAGAAGTGTAGGACTTACAGAGCGGACACGACATACTGTGTAATATTTTAATTGTTTGATATTTGACCTTCAATTGTGACCTTGACCTTGAGCTGACACATGGGCGACATGGGTTCTGCACATCCCCTTGTTGAAGTGAAACATTTGAGCCAAGTTTGAAGAAAATCTTTCAAGTAGTGTAGGACTTACAGAGCGGACACAACATACTGTGTAATATTTGATAGTGTTTGATATTTGACCTTGTGACCTTGACCTTGAGCTGGCACATGGGCAACATGGGTTCTGCACATCCCCTTGTTGAGGTAAACATTTGAGCCAAGTTTGAAGAAAATCTTTCAAGTAGTGTAGGACTTACAGAGCGGACACCACATACTGTGTAATATTTAATTGTTTGATATTTGACCTTCAATTGTGACCTTGACCTTGAGCTGACACATGGGTGACATGGGTTCTGCACATCCCCTGGTTGAGGTGAACATTTAAGCCAAGTTTGAAGAAAATCTTTCAAGTAGTGTAGGACACGACATACTGTGTAATATTTGATAGTGTTTGATATTTGACCTTCAATTGTGACCTTGACCTTGAACTGTCACATGGGCAATATGGTTTCTGCACATCCCCTTGTTGAGGTGAACATTTGAGCCAAGTTTGAAGAAAATCCTTCAATTGGTATAGGAGTTATAGAGCGGACACGAAAATGGAGACGGACGGACGGACGGACCGACCGACGGACGGACCGACCGACGCGACAAAGTGAATCCATTATAGCCCCCCCCCCACATTTTGTGGTGGGGGTATAATAATTATGACACTATCTACATGCATAGAATATCATTGCATCCCTCCATAAACATATGTAAAAATTATTCGAGAACCTTTGTCAGCTATGAGATCACAGTGAACTAAATGAGTGTTTTACTTAGCACAATTATAAAAACTATGGCACATTATTCCTTATGCAAATTGTATATTTTATAATGACAGGTATAATTATGGTAATGGTATATGATATCAGCAATGTCAGCACTCTAAATAAGACTTCATCCTTCCACAATCATTCCACCATACAACAACTTCAGCATCCAACAATTAATATATTTTTATCATTTTCATTCTAATGTAACCAACATATGGCAACTTTCAAGCTTTATTGGTGGAGGGGGACTTCATTTGTCCCTCTATGCATTATTTCAGGCACAAGCGGGTACCTGAGTAGAAATGCCATTTTTCCCCCTACAATAAGGTTCAGTGGTTTGAAGTCAGCAATATCAGCAATTTCAACAAGAGGCTCTAAACAATCAAAACGGCCTAAACCTCATAATTTCAACTGTCAACAATGTCAAATACTATGTAACTTCCTGCCAATTATTATGATAATATATTATAATGATATACACACAATAACTTCAAAGGTTAGATACAAATTTAAATTTTCCCTGTTTGTTACAAACATATACTGCCAACTATACCTTTTTGATTTCTAACTCTTTGATTAGCCAGTCAATGATGGATTTCAACAAAAGATAGTCACATTATGAGGTATCTTCTGGTATTTTCAATAAAGGAACTATATGATCCAATCTGCCATTTACAATGCCAGCATGGTTTACCCAAAATATGTGCAGGTCAGGCCGAGTAACATCAATGCTTTCACCAAGTAAATGTTTGATCCAAGGAACTTCCTCTGATATGTCGCCATACTGTGTTTTATGTTGAAAGTGTTGCAGTATATTTATTCCTAAAGCCTCACACAGAAAACCAACATGTAATACACCTGAAACAAAAAAGTTGTTGTGTATTGTCATAGATATTTATTTGATTAGTAAAATAATTGACCTAATTATATGTGTATTTATTTGAATGAAAAATATATAATTATTGTTATTTAATTCATATTTTTTTCAGAAACATTTTATTTTTATTAAGTTATTTTTTATTTGTTCAGTCAAAATATTCAAATGATCAATTATCTAAGCATTGTAAGCTAAGAAAATATTTAAATGTAATGAAACCAATTTGAATAATATGGCATTTTTATGTTCTGCAATATACCGTATAAGTACTTATTTCTGCGGGCTGAATATTCTGCCATTTTTGTCAAAATAAGGGGTTTTAAATTTCTGGGTATCTTATTTCTGCATTTTTATTAAGATATTTGTACAAAATAAGTAAATTAAAACTAACAACATCTCAAGATTTGTCGATGTTACATTACTTCTGGTTTAAAATTCTGACGACTATTAATGCTTTTTCGTAATGATCATATAATGGTTTATACATGTAAATAAAATAAAAAACAACAACGTGTAAACACAATTTGAATAAAAGAAAGTCGATTGTTTCTCTAAAGTTGATGTGTGAAGATAAGCGTGAAAAATAAACAATGGCAAATCGCAAATAGACACAAGCTACATGTATTGTATACTACAGGCATTACAATTACAAACAAGGGTTATTTTTATCATGTCTTTGATTATGATATCGTTAAATATATTTAAAAATGAGAAGATTAAAACAGCAATAAAAAAAACGGTATAAACCACACATGATCACATTTTTAGCATTTAATTGCAATTATATACAATATAAATTTTTATCAAAAATTTGTTAGTATCATATAAAAATATTCTGAGAAAATAATGATTATTTAACAAATAGAACAAGCAAAGTAGGGATTTGTTTCTAATCGTTTATTCACGACAGATACATAAGGAAAAATTCCAAAAAGCAGATAACGATACATGGTAATTTAATTATACAATACTGGTAAATTATTCCCACATATACATATGGAAAGGCTTAATTTTCTGAATCTTTTAAATCTGCGGTGTCGTTATGAACTACAGAATAAGCAAAAATAAAGTTCCTGCAGAAAAAAGTACTTATACGCTATTTATAAAGTTCACAGTTTAGTTTATAGTTTAAAGAATTTCACATCATAAGAATTACACTGTAACCACTTTATTCATTTTCGTCTATTCATTCTTAGAAATGTGCTAAGCAAGTACACTATAACTATAAAATTACAGTTTTATATTCTTAAAGGGCGACATGTTTGAGAAATATAATTCTAAACTTACTACTATCTTTTCCAAGAAGAGCTGTTTCCATTATCAACACTTTTAAGCATACATCAATAATAGTTTCAGCATTTTCAAATGTTTGTATTTCTGTAATCAGTTGGTCATTCATATGTTGCATGAAGAACATCTTCCAATATTTAGCATCATTATTATGCCCTAACATCTACAAGTAGAATATCAAATACATTAATTGATGTTACCACAACTAGAGAACATTATATTAGATATGTGTGGAAATTTAAGAGATTACTGCGAATTCACTCATATCCCTGGGCATGAAATTTCGTGGTTTTATCAAAATGGCCATTTTCATGGTTTTTTTAAAATTCATGGATTTTCAATTTCTTTAAAAAAAATAACATAATGCAAAGTGATTTTTCACTTAATCGCCGCGCATTTTACTTACCGCATGTACATATCTTATCATATCACACAGCACATGTCAATAAAGCAGTTACTGCCGATCATTTATCAAGTAGCCTACAACTAGTAGTCAAGTAGTCCTGTGATGTGTATAGTTTGTTTGTTTTGGGTTTTACGTCACATCGACACAGTATAGGTCATATCGCGATGTTCCAGCTTTACTGGTGGAGGAAGACCTCAGATGCCCTTCCGTGCATTATTTCAGGCACGAACGGGCACCTGAGTAGAACCACCGACGTTCCGTAAGCTAGCTGGATAGCTTCCTCACATGAAAGAATACAAAGTCCCTGTTGGGATTCGAACCCACAGCGGTGAGGGGCAAGTGGTTTTGAAGTCAAAGACTTTAACCACTTGGCCACGGACGCCCCTAGATGTGTATATGCGACTGACAATTGTGACAGCAAATTGAGGACATTATAATCAACTTTTCTTTCAAGTTTCTTAAATATTGCAAACCTAAACTATTCATGGATTAAATATGTCAGTATCCTGATTATCTGTATAAATTCATAACACAATAATCAGCCCTAAAAAGCGTCAACAAATGCATGTGATATATAGAATCAAGACATGGTAAGAAGTATCTGTTGGGATAAAATTTCGTCAGATCTTAAATTTGTGGATTGACCTACCCACGAAAACCACAAAAATTTGTGCCCCACAAATGATAATGATTTTACAGTATCATAAAAAGTTAATGAGACAGTCTATTTTTAAGCCTCTGTTAAAATATTACACATGTCAAATATCTAGCCTGTAGGTCTTAAAGTTTTAGGAAAGAGATTTTAAATACATTTAAACTAGGGATGGCAACACATACCAAAATCAATACTCCAGTACTCGGTCATTTTTCCGATCGAGTACTTGATTACTCGGATGATTTCCAATGATCTACAAAGTTTAATCACACAATATCAAATGTTAAATATGGACACAAATTGATCACAAAAGCCCAACATAAGCATGTTGTGCTCAAGTGAGCTTAAAACAATCAGGATGGGATAGGACAGAATAAAGTGATTCTTATAAAGCCCCCCTCAAAACTATGTTAAGTGTGTGGAAAAGTCAATGCCCTTAACTAGGCAGTTGAAGACAAAAATATTTTTAAATGTTTTACCATTTGCATAAAACAAATGACTTCATGGGTAGGGTCAGCTTTTAGCAACAAGGTACAATTTGCATAAGCTTGGTAGAGAATCACTGGGTGATGTTACAGAACAAATCTTAAAAGTTTGTGAATTTTAATAAGACAACATTTTAACTTTTTGAATATTTTGTTTTCCAGCGCCATTATCAGACTTCCAGAGTTGTGCACAAAATGAATCTATAAGAGAAAATTTTATAAGGCTTAATGCATGAAGCATTCTTTTCAAGTTATATCAAATCAAATTTTGTGCAAATAAGGTCATCATGTGAATTAAAACGACAAGTGATTTCAACTAAAAAAAATTATCCACTTACTTGTTTTTTATACATTTTAAATGATGAAACAGCATGTATGGCAGTCATTAATCTGAGACTGAACTGTAAGTTTTCTGTCCCACTCAACAATAAGCTTACACTTTGATATAAACAGGAGTTGTCGTCCCCACTTGACCGATATGCTTGAAACCCTTGTGGTGTATTCCTGCAAACAAATATTAAGTGCTTATGTGTAAACAAGATGGTCATGTTGGCCCTCATTCACTCACCTAGGTCTAATAGTTCAAGTTTATTTTAATCAAACACCTTTATATTCTACAGGTCACAAACTTGATTTAATTTTTCAACAAACTTTGTCAGAAACCTTTTTTTTATATTTAATAATATACAGGCATATATATATTATTATCAATAGAGAAAATAAGAATCCCTAAAGGAAGTCTAAAATGGCAAAATTGAAATGTTGCAGGCTATGTTCGATTGAGCCTGTTCATGGACAGAAATGCTCAAGCAGGATTCAACATTTAAACATGAAATTGGTGAAATTTTGAATTAAGAAACATCCACAGATGTGTTCATATAGTGGTTTTCATGCCAAGAAATTGTCCATATTTTTATATTAAGTAATAATCATATGAAATTATTATATAAATTATTTTATAAGAAATCCATTTTTATAATAAATTATATACCTATATATATTAAGAGTTGCTGTAAATCTGTTTTTGAATATTTATTGTAAAAATATATGATAATTGAATATTTCTTGTAATGTATGATTATGTTTACTTAAATGACAAATTAAACATAATCATACATGTGTACATTACAAGAATTATTCAATTATCATATATTATTACAATATATATTCAAAAACAACTCATTATATATACATGTATATAAAAAAGGATTACTTACAAAACAATTTCTATAATAATTTTATATGATTGATGATATGAAATTATTACGTACCGGTAAAATAAGAGTATTGACAATTTCTTGGCTTTCTAATAGAACCTTCAATGTGACACAAAGTGCCATTCCATGGAAAGCGGCATATGGTCCCCAAGTAATAGAAAGTGTGTGCCCTAAACAAGAAAAAAATTGGCAACGAATGAAACCCAATTTTGAGATGGGATTAGAAGTTATGAAGCCTGCATATCACAGATAAGACATCAAAAGACAAAGATAAAAAGCAGGCAACATATCCTAACCTCTACTATAAGTTTATAGGTAACTTTGCAGGACACTTTCATCAAGGGGGTGGGGGGGGATAATCATTGGATCAGCAATCAAATTGTTTCTAAAATTTACATAGAAACACACAACCTAGATTATAGGAATTTACAACTTACAAATTTATGACAACATAAACAAGACAAGCCGTGTCAATAATTATTGGCAGTTCATCTATCTTTTTAAGTTGCCTTAAAAAAGGCGACATATAGGGATTACTTTTGTCGGCGGCGACGTTGTCAGCATCAGTGTCAGCGTCCCCTTAAGCTTGTCCGGAGCATAAGTCCGTCATTATAAGTCGGATTGCCTTCAAGCTTGGTATGCATGCTTCTTATCATGACCCAAAGTCCAGTGCACAAGAACCGGTACTCTGCACTTCTTAATTTTTGAGTTATTGCCCTTTGTTAATTTTAATACTATTTTTGTCCGGGCCATTTCTCCTAATGTATAAAAGCTATGGACTTGAAACTTCATAGGATGATAGATCTCATTAAGAAGAAGTGCAGTGCACAAGAACCGGTGCTCTGCACTTCTTATTTTTTGAGTTATTGTCCTTTGTTAATTTTCATACTTTATTTTTGTCCATGCCATTTCCCATAAAGTATAAAAGCTATGGACATGAAACTTCATAGGATGATAGATCTCATTACGAAGAAGTGCAGTGCTCAAGAACTGGTACTCTGCATTTCTTATTTTTTGAGTTATTGCCCTTTGTTAATTTTCTACTTTATTTTCCTCCAGTCCATTTCTCCTAAAGTATAAAAGCTATGGTCTTTAAACTTCATAGGATGATAGATCTCATTAAGAAAAAGTGCAGTGTACAAGAACTGGTACTCTGCATTTCTTATTTTTTGAGTGACTGCCCTTTGTTAATTTTTATACTTTATTTTTGTCCATGCCATTTCCCATAAAGTATAAAAGCTATGGACATGAAACTTCATAGGATGATAGATCTCATTACGAAGAAGTGCAGTGCATAAGAACTGGTACTCTGCATTTCTTATTTTTTGAGTTATTGCCCTTTGTTAATTTTCTACTTTATTTTCCTCCAGTCCATTTCTCCTAGGATGATAGATCTTATTGATAAGAAGTGCAGTGCACAGAAACTGCTGCTCTGAATTTCTTATTTTTTGAGTTATTGTCCTTTGTTAATTTTCATATTTCAATTCTGTCCTGGCCATTTCTCCTAAACTAAATTGTTCACAAGGCGACACATCCAACTCGCGGAGTTCTAGTTTAAAGTATTAATGGTTTGTAAATTCAATCAATCACAGAATTGTAAACTTTCAGACCTACAAGTGAAATACTTTTTGAGCTATGCATGAACAAGTTGAACATTGCAAATTTATACTACTGTAAGTCGAGGGCAATAACTCTAACAAAACTGAAAAAAATCCACATGCAAAGTCCCAGATGCATAGCTTCACAGTAATGTATTCCTGTAATTTTGTGATGTTGATCATTATTTCTGTAAAGTTCGTTGATTCTTACTTAAGCACTCAAGGAACAAATAACAACATAATGAAAAGAAGTCAAGGGAAATAACTCTACAAATACTGGATAAATCCACAAGCACAACCCCAGGTGCAAAACTAAATAGGCTGAGCAACCTTCCCATAAGGTTTAATGACTCTAGGTCAAATAATTTTTAAATTACATGCTACACAAGTTGAAAATTTTACTAAGTCAAGGGCAATAACTTTAAAAATACTAAATAAATCCAGCCGAAAATACCCAGGTGCACAACTACACATGCTGATCAACATTCCTGTAAAGTTTCATGACTCTAGGTCAAATACTTTTTGAGTTACGTGTGACACAAGTTGAAAATTGCCAAATTGTACTATGTCAAGGACAATAACTCTAAAAATACTAAAAACATCCAGATGAAAATACCCAGGTGCACAACTACACATGCTGATCACCATTCCTGTAAAGTTTCATGACACTAGGTCAAATACTTTTTGAGTTACATGCGACACAAGTTGAAAATTGCAAAATTTTATAAGTCAAGGGCAATAACTCTGAAAATACTAAAAATATCCAGAAGAAAATACCCATGTGCACAACTACACATGCTGATCAACATTCCTGTAAACTTTCATGACTCTAGGTCAAATACTTTTTGAGTTATGTGCGACACAAAAGAGAACGGACGGACGGAAGGACGGACAAGGGTAAATCTAAATGCCCGCTACTAAAGTGGGGGCACAATAAAAATTGTGAATAACATATGATGTGAAACAAAACTGAAATAAGTCATAAGGACAAATGATTACAGTTACTATTTACTCTAACAATTTCTGAATATAACATATTTAAGTTTTTTTCAACAATATGTTTCTAATGAAGGTAATAAAATTATACAAATTATAGCAGTTTGTAGGTTCTGATTTATAAAGCACAATTGAGATCATTTGTTTAAAACTTCTGTAACTGACATTAATTCAAGAAAGTTGAACATGCTCGGACATTCATAATAATAATTGTCTTTGTAAGTTTTCAGATCCAATTATACCTGGGACAAATACTTTTACAAAATGAAACTCATCTTCAATATCAGAAGAATTACATATTTCACAACATCTTTCAGTTCTTTCAATTTTATTTTGTCCTTTAACCTTCCTGTGTCTATACATAATTTGCGAGCCGATAAATTGTGGTCATGTTTAATATGCTTATATACAGTTAACATTCTGTTGTTCTCTAAGCTACGTCTTCATTGATTACCTCAAATTTAGCAGTATTTTTCATGGTGTTCTGGCACTACCAGTAAATGGAGTTAATAATTGCCTGAATTCAATTTATGATTACAGTTTTTGACACCTTCCTCATGAAATTCACAGGGGGTAAACAATTAAACTTTAATTGATCTAAATTAGTGCCAATAACTATAAGTTGAAAGGAGCCACATAGATCATTTCAAGCTCAAGGTCGAGGTCATTTCAACCTTTTTAGTATGAAAATCCATTGATTTATAACAAAGTAGTATAGCCAATTATAGCTATAATCAGTGAAAAAAATGGATCAAAGACAGAAATAGCCGGATTGCATTTATATACCTTATATCACAAGGCTGTGATGTTATGAGAACTATCTACAATTGACCAATGCTGTCGAAAATTTAACCAAGTTGACAAACAGGAAGTGGATGAGCGACAGACCTGAAATCATATCCCATGGTATGTGACCATGTGTTAATGCTGTATATCAAATATCAAGAGGCTGTGATATGCAGTTGCTGAGAAAAATGTTAAGAAATTTCCTATCATTGACCATTAATGTTAAAAATTAAACTAAGTTGGCAAACAGGAAGGGGATAAGCAGCAGACCTGAAATCAATTCCCATGGTATAGGACCACATGATAATGTTGTATACCAAATATCAAAAGGCTGTTATGAAAATATTTTACCCGCCTGCCTACCCGACATTCACCATACTAAACCCGGGCTTGCACCTGTGCAAACCAATCAATAAAATAACTTGACCTTCAAGGACAAGGTCATACATATGTCAAGGTCAATTTGAGTTTGATATTCATGAAGGTCCTGACCTAAAAGATATTGTGTCTTAATATAGTTATTCCATTTATAGAAAATTTCAAAAATTTGACCTTCAAGGCCAAGGTCATTTATGAGTGAAAGTCAAGGACTGTCTGGTTAACTTGAACATCCTATCCTAAAATTTTGTTATACTCAAGTTTGAAGGCAATCCATTTCAAAAAAAGTACAGCCACTAATAGCAAAAAACAAGCAAAATTTAGATATTTGACCATTTATGAATGAAGGCCAAGGTTAGTCTAATCTACTAAAAGACTTTGTCTCAAGGTTTGTTATGGCCAAGTATGAAGACAACACACTAACAACTTCAAAAGTTATGATCAAGGTTCAACTTTGCAGACTACCGTCAACTAACGTCAACGTGACTATAAAAAAAAGTTGAGCTAAAAGTCTATTATTTCTTGCTGC